TGACTGTAGCGGAGTTGACTGTAGCGGAGTTGACTGTAGCGGAGTTGACTGTAGCGGAGTTGATGTAGCGGAGTTGACTGTAGCGGAGTTGACTGTAGCGGAGTTGATGTAGCGGAGTTGACTGTAGCGGAGTTGACTGTAGCGGAGTTGACTGTAGCGGAGTTGATGTAGCGGAGTTGACTGTAGCGGAGTTGATGTAGCGGAGTTGACTGTAGCGGAGTTGACTGTAGCGGAGTTGACTGTAGCGGAGTTGACTGTAGAGAAGCTGACCTAACGTTGACTGTAGCGGAGTTGACTGTAGCGGAGTTGATGTAGCGGAGTTGACTGTAGCGGAGTTGACTGTAGCGGAGTTGACTGTATTGGAGTATTGGAGTTGACCAGCTGCCGTTAACTGAGTTGATCGTAACTGAGTTTTCCATCATTGTGTGCTTTAGCTCCAGATGCTAACCTCAAACTCCACATGAGTGTCTGAAACACAACGTCATGCATTTTCATCACATTGTTGTTTTTGAAAAGTGACTGAAATATGACAGTAGCAGAGTCGACACATCATCAATCTACTGAGAGGAGAGTAATGACACGCCCTAATGCCTTCCAGAGTTTCTCACCACAGGAAGTGACAATTGTGCAGCCCCAATCTGAAGTGTGTGTGTGTGTGTGTGTGTGCGCGTGCGTGCGCGCACGTCTGTGTGTGTGTGCAGAGAACAGTGACATCACGCAGGCGCTGTCGAAGCTGACGGAGCCGAGTACTGCTGTGCCGATACACAAGCTCTCCGTCTCCAGTATGGTCCACAGCGCCCGCAAGCGCATCCGCCGGCACCGCCGTGTCCCGGAGTCGCCGCTCAACAACGACGTGCTCAACTCCATCCTGCTGGTAAAACACTGAGCATGCTGGGAAATTACACACACCTCTCGGTTCACACATGATGATTCCCTCATCAATGTCTGACACTCTACACTGCTGAACACAAGGAAATAAAGATGAACCATAATCATCACAGTTTCCTCCAAACCCAGTTTACCACACATAAAAACACTTTATTTTATTCTTATAGAGCTGCAACTTTAGCAAAATAATAATAAAGTTAATAATAAAATTAATAATAAAGTGAAATCAAACTCTAGACGGGTGGTGTTCTGTAGTTTACCTGCTTCAGTAAAGTTGAGCGAACTTACACATGCATTAATGTCTGTGAACGCTGACGGTCACACACACATACACACACACACACACACACACACACACACACACACACACACACACTGTGCGGTTAAAAGATGTGTAATATTTGTATTGTTTATTTGACATGATCCATTTTCTGCTGCTTTGTATTCCTAAATTAAATGCATTTCTGATATGCTGAAGCTGAAGGTTTGACATCATTGCTTTAGTCTTCAGTGTCACATCAGAAATCCCACCAAAAATATGAAGCTGAAGAGCAGATCGTTCGGTTGGTCTGGAATAAAAGCTATATTTTAATGAATGTATAATCTGCTGTGGTCAGTATTATTCTCTGCTAAAGTATTATTGGCCTCTTTTAAAGGTGCAGTGTGTCAGTTTCACTCCCAGTGGTTGAACTAGGTATTGCACTCCTTGATCAAAACAGATGCAAGAGCAGGTTGCCAGATTGACGACCAACAGTAGTGTGCCTGACTATCGAGCCTAAAGGCTGATTAAAAGTGTGTTCTATATAACAGCGATAGCATATGATAGAGGGAATATTCTCCATATTAAAGGGCGTTGTCTTACAACACTTCACCTGGAATTGATGCATTACAAACAGCTTCAATTTCTCACAGCTGAACAACAGAACACTGACACCGCTCAGCTCAGCTACAGCTCAGGTGCTTTATTCAGTGTTAAACGCTAATAATGTGAGTCTACAGGACATCTATCAGCACACTACTGACAGCAGCAGCAGAGAGTTCAGCTCAGATCTGCAGAATACAATAAAGCGTCTGAAACTGAACTTCAGAGCTGAGACTCAGAGCAAACCAACACATATGAGTGATTCAGCATCTACATTTACTCATGTTCAAGAGCTGTAATGTGTGTTCATTTGATGATAAAGCTCAGCGTGTGCTGGAGTGCAGTGAGTGCTCTATTCTGTGCTGCTGAATGTCTGTGTTTACATTTCTGCAAACAGTCAAACTGCTCATCACTGCGCATCTCATCATGTAGTGTGCTGTCAGGACACGGGGTTACAGTGTGACCTGCTCAGCTAATGTTCACACTCCTAATGTTTATATTATTTGCTCATTAATAACCTCATGTGGAACTCTGAATCTGCGGCTCATTTCAGAGTCTGCTGCTGTCCACCAGAGGGCGCATTTCAGTCACAGACGCACACTGTGAGAGTCTTCCTGACTGAATGAATGAAATACGCTGTTTTCCACCATCTGGCAACCCGGTGCTGGAATATAATTGGCTAAACTGGCATTGGGCGGGTTAAAGAGAGCAAAACAAAGACAGCTGCTCCGGCACATAACACACATGTTGACAGCAGAATATCTGACTTGTGTCTCAGATAAACAGGAGTGTTCACTGAGCATGTTTCTGAATATCTGCACACAGATGATGCTGTTTATATGATGCAGAAGAGTCCAACACTCTACAGCAGCAAAAAATATACAAAGAATAGAAATACACCACCGTATGTCACACTGCCATCACGACAAAGACAAATGAAATCACCTATTATTAGCAGTTCGTTATTAAAGCGATTCTGTTCAAAAATCTCTTTAAAATGCTTCTCTGAGAGTCAGTCTCGCAGATGTTGAGGGGATCTGCTGTTCTAACATGCAGTGTGAGTAAAGGATGGACCTGGACTTGAGCTTTTGTGTAGAAAAGATTAGTTGGATTTTACTTTAAAAGCATGCCAAATGTTTAAATGACTGTTTACATCTGCGGGTGATGTGACAAGTGACTCTGTGTGTGTGTGTGTGTGTGTGTGTGTGTGTGTGTGTGTGTGTGTGTGTGTGTGTGTCAGTATCTGTTTCCTGACGCAGCTCTGGATAAAGCAGACGTAAGTGAGGTCAGACCACCGCAACAGAGCCCGGACAGACAATCAGAGGATTACGTGAGTCTAAACACACACACACACACACACACACACTCACTCTAGAGGTCTGCATTCTCGGAGTACAGCGGGACCCGACCAGGTTTCTTGCAGCGCAGGAATAAATTTCCGAATGAAGCGCAGGAGCGGTCGGTAACTAGTGTAATTTGAACAGGAGCGGGCGGTCTAACAAAAGAGCTCCTGACTCCTGAGCGAGCGAGCACGCGTATATATGGATGTGTGTGAATGAGAGAGAGAGCGTGATGCTGTGTGTCGCTTACTTGGTGCTGTTTATGTTTATGTGTGTGTGTGTGTGTGTGTGTGTGCGCGTGTGTTTATACAGACGGCTTGTTATCTGGACTCTGTATCATGGAGCTGGGTGGTTTTTGGTTTGGCTTCTTTGTTCGCGAACACATCACTAAAACTAAAACCTGGTAGGAGCGGGATTAAAAATGTTGTCCCGCGCAGATCTCTAACTCACTCACATTACAGATGCACTGAAACCCAAATTCAGGATGAATTAACATTTCTGAATAGTGATGTAGCGCTTCACCTGACTCACGATTTGATAACGATTCATGATACTAACCTCACCTCACGGTTTAGTCACGACTTTTAAATAAAATTGAGACAGATTTAGGGTGAAGAGCTCTTTCATTTTTCTCAAACACTGCACTTTTTTTTTTTTACATTATAAAATCTTTTCTGCAATAACTAAATTATAATTAAATAAAATTAAGAACTAAATTAAAACAAGATCCAAATGAAAAATCAGTAACAGAAACTGGAGAAGACTCTATAGTAAAAGCAAGGTACAGCTGTGACAGTGCTGGGATTTGAGATATTTTTGAAACAGGAATATCAGCAGATCTGTGTGTTCTGGCATGAGCTGAGCTCTCTGCACATCTACAGTGTCTCCTGCTGATGAACAAACTCTTACACTGAGGACTGAGACGGCTGCTGTGGAGAGGAAAGCCTTTCCCAAAGCAGAGAGAGCAGCGTGTACAGCGCTGGTCAATAGGCCCTCTGCTCCAGGAGACTGAACACTGGCATAACACACTGATGATAATATATAACATCTGATATAATTAGCAAATGAGTAAAATATGCATGAACTAATGCGAAACAGAGAGGGTAAAGTAATCTAATAGCTGGATCTGGAACAGCTCTCTCTCTCTCTCTCAGTCTGTCTTCAGGCTCTGCTATGAGGACACTGACAAGATCTACAGAGATCACACGCTGCACCAGAGCGAGCGGAGCTGCAAATCATCTGGTCCATGTGGTTTGGCTTATTAGTAGTGTATTTGCGTATAGAAGTGTGTGACGATAGTTTTCTGTTGTGTTGACGGTTAATCTGCATCATTTCTGCAGTATTCTCACACAGTCAGGCGCACTTCACTGCTGTCATTTCACTCTTGCTCGCCGCTGATGTGCAGGTAAAGCGAGCGCAGCGCCCCCTCTGTTCTAAACATGTATCGCTATTCGTTCATCATGTCTCCCGGTTTAAATCACCGCATATTTGATTACCTTTTTAACCGGTTCACGGTGAATCATTACATCTCTATCTCTAAATTTTATATGATCAAAGGTCAATGCAAAGGGAGACATTGGCTTTTACAGAGTTAGCTTAGCAAAGCCCAAGCAAACAAAGTTTGGGGACTACAAAAACATAC